AAGTGTTGTCCTTCATGTCTTTCCTCTGCTGCCCCTGCTCTGAGACTGTATACCCAGCATTAGGGCATGGAATCCACTACCAAGCAGTTAGCCCTCTGAGGAGTAACAGAAGTCTCTGGGCTCCAGTATTTAGAAGCAAGAACGCAGAAGACCCCAAGAGCTTTCTCTTTGCTTGGAGATTTTAATGGAAATGCCCAGAATTTAAGAGCCAAGAGAGGGCTGGTATTGTTTACTGGGGCGAATACCCCACACACACACATTGAAAGAGTTCATAGGCACTGAAGAGCTCTGTTACGGCATCTGCTGGCAACTACAAGGTGTGCCAGGCTCAGCTAAGGCTGGACCCAGTGGGTCTCACTGACATAAAGGACTGGGGTTCTTGGAAGAAGGAGGAAAGAAGCCCAGGAGAAGAGACTACTTGGCCACAACATCCTCTCCTAAGAGAACTCTGCTAATAAACAGTGGTTCTTAACCTGGGAGTAATTACTCCTTGAGGGTTAATTTGGCAAATTTTAGGGAGCAATAAATGTAACATACAATAGGTGTTCAGTTTTGTTCAACATAATGTATGCGAAAAAATACAATACAAATGATTAATGGTAATTTTCTTTTTGTCTATTGCCATTTAAAAAAGAAGGGGTAATTTTGGTTTATTGGTTAAGCTTAAGGAGTAATCGTGCCAAGGAGGTTAAGAACCACTGTCCTAGAAGAACTTGGGATAGATCACAGAAGTGCAGCAAGAGATACCTCAGATCAAAGGGCGGGTACTACATCTCCATGAGGAAGGCCCTGGAAAGTGTTTGATTGCTATCAGACCTGAAAAAAGGCTGCAGGAAAGGGCCTAGAGCAGGGGTCTCCAACCCTTTTACACCCAAGATCACTTTTTAAATGACAGAACAAGCCAAGATCTACAGCCCCATCCTTCCCCCAAGACCCCGCCCCTTCCTTGAAGCCCCGCCCCTTCCTTGAAGCCCCGTCCTGCCCTCTCTAATCTCCTCCTCTCCATCACTTGCTATCCCCAACCTTTATACTGCTGCTTTTTATCCCCAATTCTTCTGTAGAAAGAGGTTTTTCCAACATTTGGCCTGTCTAGACTGAACTAAATGTCAAAAAACCCTTCTTTTGAAAGCCCCCTTATTCCTCGTGAAAAGAGGAATAGGGGGTTACCGAAAAAGCATGTTTAAAAAAACCAGAAGAACAAACGCATCCCTGGATGCAGAAGAGTTTTTCTGGGATATCTCTGGAATCCTGAAAAACTCCTGCAGTCTAGCCTTACCCTCGCTGGGTTGAGACAGGATGTATAGGCTCTGGGGTGGGAATGAGGAACTTGGGTGTGGGAAGGGGTGAGGTGTGCAAGCTCTGAGAGGAAATCTGGATGCAGGAGGAGGTGGAGAAGAGGACGCTGGCTCGGGGAGGGGACTCCAGTGTTGAGATCAGATGGAGGGCTGGGTTTAGGGTTAGGGTAAGGCTAAGCAAGCCACAGGCTTGTGAATGTGAGGGGGCAGAAATTTGGGGTGGGGTATGTGAGGGGCTCAGGGCAGGGGGTTCCAGTGTCTGATAGGCTCAGATGTAGGGTCTGGGGGTGTGTGCAGGAGTATTACGAAGCTGTGGCCAGATGGGGGCTTGGCCCCAATTGGGGGTTTGTTGGCCAGGCTTCATTTTTAAATAAAATACTATGTCAAACACAAAAAGTTTCTGCATTGCCTTTATTTATGAGAAGGGCAGGGAACCTGTTTTGAGTCAGGGGTCACTGACCCACAGAAAAGTCAGTTGGGGGCACACAAGTGAGATGCAAAAAAAAAACCACCCTCCTCCAACCTCCCCTGCTCCAAGCCTCACTAATGTGGCCCCAACTGTGCTGGTGGGGGCAGGGAACATGGTACTGGGGAAGGGTGCTAGTGGGTGCTGGGGCAGAGGACAGGATGCCAGTGGGGGCAGGGTTCCGTGGCGGGGGACAGGGTGCCAGTGGGGACAGAGTTCTGTGGCTGGGGGCAGGGAACAGGGTGCTGGGAGGGCACGGGACAAGGTTCTGCAGCAGGGGACAGGGTGCCAGGGGGGACAGAGTTCAGGGAGTGGGGATGGGAATAGGGACAGAGTTCTGTAGCTGGGGGCATGGGAGTA